GGGGTGATATAATAAATAAGGTTATAATAAAGAGGTAGATGTGTTGGTTGTATTGAAGTATAAATACAAATATGGTTTATAAATAAGGTGTAATGTCCATGAGTGTTGGCAGTGCAGTTATCCTCCAATCAGGGTGGAGGTAGGGCATGTTTGACAGCCTGTGGGTAAAAACTTCTGTTGAGTCTGTTTGTCTTCGACCTGATGGACCTGTAGCGTTTACCAGAGGGAAGGGGGAAAAAAAAGTGAGTGTCCAGGGTGCGAGGGGTCTTTGATGATGATACTGGCTTTCTGCTGAAGTCTGCCAGTATAGATGTCTCTGAGGGGAGTTAGTGAAGTGCCGATTGCCCGCTCTGCTGTCCTCACCACCCGCTGCAGTTTCCTCTTGTCCTCCGCGGTGCAGCAGTTGAACCAGTGTGCAGCAGTAGGTCAGAAGGCTCTCAATGGTGGAGCGGTAGAAGTTTACTAGCAGTCTTTGGAGTAATTGGGCCTGATGTAGTTTCCTGAGGAAGCATAGCCTTTGTTGTGCTTTCCCTACCTGGTGGGAGATGTTTGTGGACCAGGTAAGGTCGGCCGAGATGTGGACTCCAAGGAACTTAAAGCTTTCTATCCTTTCTACCTCCTCCCCATCAATGTAGAGGGTAGAGTGCTCAGATCGCTTTGTTCTTCTGAAGTCGATTACCATCTCCTTGGTCTTGGCTGTGTTCAGATGCAGGTTGTTGTCGTCACACCATTGCTTCAGATGCTGAACCTCCTCTCCGTAGGCTGAATCATCATTGTTGTGTTAAAGTGTTCCTCGATGCGCTGTTTGTATTTGCACTTGGCTTCTTTTATGCCTTTAAGCAGAGATTGCCTCTTTGTAGACTTGTTGGTCTCCTGATTTGAAGGCGCTGTCACGTGCTCTTAGTAGGGCTCTCACCTCACTGTTGAGCCATGGCTTCTGGTTCGGGAACATATTAATAGTCTTTGTTGTTGTTACACTCTCAGTACATAAGCGTATGTATGAGAGTACGGCAGATGTGTGGCCCTCAAAGTCTGATCCTTCTGCAAATACACTCCAATTCGTGTTATCAAAAATAGCCTTGTAGGGCCGTGGTGGCTTCCGCGGTCCACACTCGTACTGCTTTTACCGATGTTTTTTTACCTTTGAATTAGAGGTCTATAAGCAGGGATCGGGGACAGAGAGAGATGGTCAGAGAGTCCGAGATGAGGCAGTCGGGTTGCTTTGTAGGCATCTGGGATGTTGGCGTCGACCTGGTCTAGTGTGTTGTTTTCCCTCATCGGAAAGCTCGCGTTTTTAAAGAATCGAGGCAGGACAGATTTCAGGTTTGCGTGGTTAAAATCTTCTGCCACGATCACAGCGCAGTCCGGGTGCTTTGTAAGCTGTTTATTATTGGAGCGCCCGAGTAGCTCCATGGCTGACTTAGCATTAGCTTGCAGCGGCACATAAACTGCTATTATTGTGATCGCTGTGAGCTCTCTCGGCAAGTAGAAGGGTCTGCACTGCACCATCATATATTCTATGTCCGGGCAGCAGTGGACGACTTTAACTGTGTTGCTGGTGCGCCAGTTATTGTTTACAAATACTAGCAGACCTCCTCCACGTTTCTTACCAGACTCTTTGTTCCTGTCCGCTGTGAATGTAGCGTGGCCCGCTAGCTCAATCGCAGTGTCTGGGGTAAAAGAGTCCAACCAAGTCTTTGTGATGATCATAACACAGTAATCCAAACAGCGTGAGGTGATCCGCAGTCGTAACTCATCCATCTTGTTATTTAGTGACCGTGAGTTGGTGAGGAAGAGGCTCAGAATAGCCAGTGGGTGGGTTAGCACGTAGCCTAGCCCTCAGCCCCGCTCTCTTCTGTTTCCTGTGCCTCCGTCGCCTCACTTTAGCGGTGGAATTGGAGTCAGTGACCCCCCGGATCTCAGGGGGAATTGAGTCCCAGTCATTGTCAGCGAAGGTGTGCAGGTTTTTGTGGTTTAGAACCGCAAGCAGTTCAGTTTTGCTGTACTGCATTTGTGCTCCTGCATGTCGGAGAAAAAGTGAAACAAAAATACACTAAATAAAAAGAAAACCTTTAATTTGAGGAGACTGCCGGGTCGTCATCTTGGGTACTCCTCCACTCCTAGCACAGATGAAATTAGGAGCACAAATGGTAAATGGACTGGTTCTTATATAGCGCTTTTCTCCTCTCACTGAGCACTCAAAGCACTTTATTCACCCAATCATACCCATTCACACAAGCACTTTATCTAAGGTTTTTAGTGCTTCTATCTAACATTCACTCGCATTCACACTCCGATGAATGCATCGGAGAGCAACATGGGGTTAATATCTTGCCCAAGGATATTTGGCATTTAGACTGGAGGAGCCTGGGATCGAACCGCCTACCTTCCGGTGAGTAGGTGACCCACCTGAGCTACAGCCACCCCCTTACGACCTCAGATCCCGCTGAATTATTACTAAGCGGAGTGGGGGGGAGAGAGAGCACAAATGGGCCTGGAGCTATAACAGAAACACATATGAATTCATGAGGGTATTCTTTTCACGACAAAACCTCTTTGCTTCATCATCATGGCACTCTATAGTATGCAAGAATAGGCACACTCAGGCACCTTATGCGACACAGAAACACATGCACACACTTCACAGTTTAGGTGTTGTGTAAGATTTTAACTACTGACCTGAATAAAGCTTACAGCCAAACACACACACACACACACACACCACACACACACACACACACACACATATATATATACACTGTTTTTTAATGTAGGAATAAATATGATTTGCTTTTACTGTTGTGTGTTTACTGTTTTATGTTCTAAATTTAATGTTAAGTAGGCCAGGGTAGAGTCTAATAACAAAAGGAAGGGGAGGGGGGGGGAACACCACTAACACTAGTTTGTTTAGGTATAACAGGTATAATAGGGTCACCGATGACTACTGATGATCTTTCACACTGAGAAATAACTGTCACTAGACAATTACCAAATCATTCTAATACATCCAATTAAAGTCTAAACTATAACAGTATGTAGTTATCTACATGTATTTTATTATGAAATTTGCATTTAACTTTTAAGAATATAGTAATATTATTTTGTCCAGTCTACCCTCTTGTGGCCAAACCCCCCACTTCCTTCTTTTACAAGTTCCTGCACTTGATATACTGTCTACCAAAGGCAATAAAGAACTATGAAAGGCAACTATAAGGCTCTTACATAGACTAATGCACATCTGGTAGACAAAGGCACAGGAGGAAAAAAAAGAGTCACACAAAAAAGGCAGGCAATCTCCCATAAGCTAAATTTTAAATATGTGACTATGTTCTCATGAGTTCTGAGAGTGTGCAAGCGGTCACCCCCTTCCATTTAGAGGAGTAAATTAAAAAGAAATTAAAACGGGTTACCTGAAAGCAGAAGTTAAGAAGCAACAAATCAGGAACTAGTTATTCTAGTGACACACAATGGGAATTTTCTTTCTTCTTTCACCTCACTTGTGACCACTATAAGCAGGAACTGCTCTGTTATTATTATTGTTATTGTTGTTTATGGGGGGGAAATTAGTCAGAAAGGAAAAGGGATGCTTTTCTAAAAGTTTATTTTTCATCAAATGCACAAAATCTATTGACATATGGTTCAATAAAAGGTATGTGGTGCAAAGCTTTATTTGATCCCCCCCCAAATAAATAAAAATACTGACAACCTCACAGGGGTGTACTATGTCAGCTGGGATTGGTTCAAGCCCCAAGACCCCAAGCTGGATAAGTGGTAACATAATAGATGGGCAAATGAAGGATGAAAACAATGACAAAAGTTGGCTGCAGTAAAGCAAAGAGAAAAATAAAACAGGCTGTATATGGAAAATTACAATTGCAAATAATGTTTTTACTCAGGCAAAAACAAAAATACCACAGACAAAGCAAAAGACTTAGACTTAAGACTACTTCTCTTCAACTATATCACTCTCAAAAGACATAGGGATGAATGAAGAAGTCATAACGGTCTGCCCTGCATTTTGAATGCAGAAAATGAGACATTTCAACTAATGTATTAAATCAGTTATATGTTTTCCACACTGAAAGGTATTACAAATATTATGTTGTGTCTGTTACTTGTTCAGATAAGATAAAGGGGATCAACCATAGAATATTTTTTTTCTTAGATTAAAAACAGAAAATAAATGTAAAAAAATGACAGAAAATTTATAAAGTTACTAAACGCTACATTTAACTGTCACAGGCAATATAAATAAATACAATACATACTTTAGTTACACTTCTGTGATACTATGTCTAATAATATGTCAAAAGATCAACACCTATAAGTTTGAGACTGCTACCTGTGTCCAATATGTCAATGTGGCGGTGAAGTTGAGGTTATATATAAAAGACAACATATTCGTGCACAAATACACCCATATATAAGACAAAATCTTTTAGAACCACTAGATCCATTACGTGTATATTTAAAGTAATTATATAGAAGCATTAATTATTTATTTAGTTTTTAAAGAAACCCCAGTTACAACATTTTTGTTAAAAAGGTCCATCTCAAATCCAACATGTTAAAACATGCTATGGCACACTCTCATTTGATCACATAACAGGGATGCGGTGCACCTGCCCTCACCTTCAGCGTTGCCCTGTCTGCACTGAGGCGCCTCAGTGTGTTTTTCTGATAAGCCGCACTTCTTTTCTTAAGAGTGTCGGTGTCTGTATTTGATGCGAAACGAAAATCACCTCTCCACGACCCGGTGGTCATAAAGGAATCATATCGCTCATCATTCAGCAAGGTGCCGCAACGGCTAAAATCTGCAAAACTAGAGGGGCAATAGGTCGTGGGGAAAACGGGCAGACTGGCTGTGGTTGAACGGTAAACGTAGCCACGCCGACAGAGTTTAAAATAAAACACTCCGCTGATTAGAAGGATAAACATAGAAGACACGGTTGAAAGAGCGATTATCAAATAGAGCGTTAAGTTATCGCTCTCTTGTGACTCATCTGCAAACTCTAAAAGTTCGCTTAAAACGGGGAGCCCATCACCAAGCATTATGCTGACTGTCGCAGTGGCAGAGAGAGATTCGAGCCCGTTATCCGTTACTAATACAACAATAGTATGTTTTGGTTCATCGTCCTCTATGAATGTTCTCGTTGTTCTGATTTCCCCTGTATGCAGATCTACCATAAACACGTTAGGCCGTGTTGCTTTGATTATTCTGTAAGAAAGCCATGCGTTATGACCTGAGTCAGCGTCCACAGCCACCACCTTAGTAACCAGGTAACCTCTAGGCGCTTCAGCTGGTACCATATCTTCAGCAATGTAACCGCTACTTTGCACAGGATATAAGACCACAGGTGCGTTGTCATTTTGGTCCTTAATAAACACATTTATAATGCAGGTGGTGGAAAGTGAAGGCCCACCGCCGTCTCTAGCTGTCACTTTAATTTGGAAGTAAACTGACTGTTCGTAGTCAAACATGCGTGAGGTAAAGACCTCCCCCGTGTCTGAGTTGATGCTTAAGAAAGATGACACTTCTGAGTTTGTGTCCTTTGATATTTGGTATTGGATTTTAGCGTTAGACCCGTCGTCAACGTCTTCCGCTTTGACTTTAATGACAAACGTGCCAACGGGTTGGTTTTCCAAGATGTTGGCATTGTACTCGCTTTGCATAAATGTCGGGGGGTTATCATTTATATCGCTAATCGCGATTGGTATAACTTTTACACTAGTAAGTGGGGGAGAGCCCGCATCAGTGGCAGTTACTGTGAGGTTATACTCTGGTTGCACTTCCCTGTCCAATATTCCATCAGTCACTAGCATGTAATAGTTTTTGACCTCCGATACTAATTTAAAAGGAACATTTTTTGAGATCGTACAGGTGACACGCCCACTGCTCCCAGTGTCCATATCATATATATTAATCAGAGCAACCATAGTCCCTGGTTTGGAGTCTTCAGCCACGTTAGAAGAGGCCGACTTTATTTCTATCACGGGCTTATTGTCGTTCACGTCAATCACATCAATTATAAGTTTACAGTGTGAGGCCTGGCCACCGCCATCTTTAGCCTGAACATCTAGCTCGTGTGAGCTAGCTTCTTCATAGTCAATGACACCTGATACGCGAACTTCTCCGCTTAAAGGGTCAATTTCAATAACACCTCCCAACTTGTCAGACAGATGACTGAAGAAATAAGTTATCTCCCCATACACCCCCTCATCCAGGTCCGTGGCCTGTAGCGTGGTTATGACAGTCCCTATGGCTGAGTTCTCTGGCACAGAGGCTTTGAAAACTCGCTGGCTAAAAACTGGGACATTATCATTGGCATCTAAAACACGGATAAGGATAGAAGCAGTTCCTGATCTAGCCGGATTTCCCCCGTCAATTCCATTGATTTTCAGTACATGTTCAACTTGTGCCTCCCGGTCCAATGCCTTTTTAAGAACTAGCTCAGGATAAGCATTTCCGTTCATTTGGTTACCCATTTCCAGTGCAAAATTGTCATTCTGGCTCAGTGTATATTCACGGACAGAATTCGTGCCGAGATCGGGGTCATGCGCGCTCTCTAAGGGAAAGCGCCTCCCTAGAACTGTGGATTCCACTAAATCCAGTTTTATCTCCCCCGTAGGAAACACTGGGCTGTTGTCATTTATATCTGTAATGTCCAAAACTATGCTGAATGCTTGAAGGGGCTGTTCAAGTAAAAGCTGATACTGTAAAATGCAGGCAGTGGCTTGTGCGCAGAGCTCCTCTCGGTCTATCCGTTGGCTGATCAAAAGATTGCCTGACGCAGTGTCCAGTTCACACAGCTGGCTTGTTCCTTCTGCAACAACACGGGCTCGACGAGCATCAAGCTCTTTCACCTCCAGCCCCAGATCCCGCGCAACGTTTCCAATCACAGAGCTCCTCTGCATCTCTTCTGGAAGAACATAACGGACTTCTCCAAACGAAACAGCGGAAAGGAGACTAAGAAATGAAAAATGCAGCCACCACTTTAACTGAGGTCGACGCATCATCAATAAACATTTTTTCAGAAATGGATGCACTGTCGACATTATAGCTAAGTCGTTAACATACATCCAAATACCGAACTGAAAATGCAACTGCAATCCTACGATTTCCTGCTTCTCTGGCTGAGTTAATCATGCTCTATTAAGAAAGCTGTCAGCTCGGATTTCTCTCTCTCTCTCTAACCTCGTTTTTCAGCTCTCTCTCCCCCTCTCTCTAACTCCCTCTCTCAGACAGCTCCACATACAGCCTCTCTCCTTTTCTCCCCTCACACACACACACACGATAAAAAGAGAAATGCGCATGTATACACAGCCGCCGGTCCTAACCCAATACTCTAGTTCCACTGACACATATAGAGGAAGACATGAGCATCCATGACTCAGACTTTATAAAAGAGCGTCACCAAGAGACTGAGAGAATAACTGCAGCTGTCTGTAATATCACCTTCCAGCACGTAACCAAAGTGAGCTCAAGTTGGGAGCTGAACATTAACTGCTATAACTACTAATAAGACAAATACGATCATTGTATTTTAAACAACACGATATGGACACAGTTAAAGCAATATTTATATAATGTAACAGAGTCTAGTATGGGATCCAGGATCTGATGTGGGCCCCGATTGATTATGTGATTGATTAGTATTTTGATAGACAAAGTAGTTCTGACCTAGAACCACTCAATTTATTCTCTATTTATTAAACACATTGTCCCAAAAGGACAGGGACAGGAGTTATTTCTACACAAAATGTTATTTATGCCAAATCATTTGGACTTAAACAGACAGGCAGACAGACAGACAGACAGACAGGCACGCACACACGCGCACGCACACACACACATGCACGCACGCACACATACACACACACACACACACACACACAAAGTCATGAAATGAAAAGCAGAAAAAGTTATTGATGATCTCGCATGCTTGGCTTTACTTTGTTCAACATAATCCCTCTAGTGGCTGCTACGGAGCACTCCAGAATCCAGTTTATTTCCATAAGTAATGACACTAAGAGACAGATGAATCACTCTATCACTCTACTTCCTCTTGCTGAAACAGCAACACCATCCAGCAACATACACATAAATATATCCATGGCACTGCAGCTCTAGCTACAGATTAACAATAATATATCCACATATGAAAAGAACTGTGACTAAGTGATTATCCATACATCAGAGAACAGTAGCTATGACATGCTTATCTCAGATAAACAGGGAAGTCTAATATTAAAAGGTGGCAAGTCTGAGGGGAATGCAGTGGCAAAGGGCCTTTTCCCTCTCTGCACTGTGAAAAATATGACAGCTTTGATACATGAGGATTCATAACGGGTTAAAATATTTCAAAAGAGAATTTGGCTTCATGGGGCATAAAACAAAGGCATATATACAAAATAAACTAATCTCACAAAAAGTAGCTGGATAGGATGATCATGCAGCTATGAAGTCTCAAACTAAATAACACTAAAACAATGCCATTTCACGTTGTACAGGTTTAGTCGGTGTAAATTAAATTAAATTAAATTAAATTAATATTAGTGAACAGTGTTGTGTCAGTGGGCAAGACATTTTGTGAAGTCATATTTTCATAAGTAACTAACTAACTGTTATTCTGTAACACAGGTGTCAAACTCCAGGCCTCGAGGGCCGGTGACCTGCAGATTTTAGATGAGTCATTGATCCATCACAGCTGATTTAAAAGGCTAAATGACCTCCTCAACATGTATTGAAGTTCTCTAGAGGTCTGGTAGTGAACCAATCATTTGATTCAGGTGTGTTGACCCAGGGTGGTATCTAAAACCTGCAGGACACCGGCCGTCGAGACCTGGAGTTCGACACCACTGTTCTATAACATTTTTTTTTTGTGCAGCTGAAAGACTAATAAATTAAAAATAAACAAAATAAAAGAAATAAAAGAAAATGAAAAATAAATACAATAACATAAAATAAAATATAATGATGAGATGAATTGAAAAATAAAGTAAAATAACGACATAACATGAAAAAATACGAGTAAACCATAGCCAAGAAATTACGTAGCACCAAGGAGATAGAAAAAAGCTACAGTTTTCAAACATTTTCCTGCACAGAGAAAAGAAAGATTGGCGAAGTGTGTGTATAGAAACCGAATACTAAATACACTTTGCACAAAATATATTCTCTAAGTTTAACTATTGGGTAAGGAAATTATGCGAGAGTTTAAAACGATTATTTTAAATGTTAACTATTTATATTCTTTTTTGTTTGTTTATTTTTTATTTTTTTAAATAAAGGCTATTGATAAAATCATTGCTATATTAACTCATACCTCTGTGCACCCGTCCAGGTCTCCAAAGACATCAGCAAAATCTGATGGACTTTTCTTCAGAGTCTGGTCAGCAGGCAGCGTGTCGTCATTGTATGATGTCACAAACTTAAAGTCACTGGTTCT